GCTCTCAAAACACTAGTCCCCTCATTTTGGAGGGTCTTCCTTGGGGGTAAAACCAGTAATAACTCACCTCAAAGCTCTCGTAATCCAAGCATTTTAAATTTTATAGATGAGGAAAATGGAGTTCAGAGATGTGAAATTACTGCCCATAGCTCAGAGTTAGTTGGTCTAAGAGATGTTGCTAGGACCCAGATAATTTGGATTCTTTGTCCACTGCTCTGTCCTCCAGGCCACCATGTGTCCACTATAGTATGCTAAATCAAAAACCATTTGGTGACTTAAAATAATGTTTTTTGTACTTTTTAAAGTGTTGCCTAAGGCACTAAAGTCAGCCTACTTTACAAAGACAAAAATTATACATATACATGCATATCTGATTTTAGGCAAGTTTAAAATCAGTATTACAGCATGCAGGGCTGGGTCGGCTGAGAGTTCACTTTGAGCTTAGGAGGAAGGAGGCCAAGGGGCTGGTCAGGGCCGGAGTGCCACTGGGGCTGTATGATGTTGTTCTCAACTTCGCTAGCTCCTAAAAATAGCACTTAAGATGCAAAATAGGTTCTCTTTTTGTTGTTGCATAAATCAGGGTGTCTTAGATGAGATCGATTTTCTTCATTTCCTCTGACAATATGCCCACTTTTCATTCATGCATCTGGAGAGGTCAATTCCACAGCAGTTCATCACACATCCGCCATGAGCCAGGCGCCGGTGTACTGCCAGAAAGTCATGGCCCAGGGAGGCCAGGCCTCAGTCTTGCCTGCTCTGGGCTGGGGGTGGGATCCCATTCTCAATTGGTGTGGTCCTCAGGCCCACAGTGCTGCCCTTGGCCTGGTCTTCACTTCTGAGCAATAGTCATCTGCTGAAGTTTCCACTGCCGACCAGAGTGAGGTGAGACACAGTCATTTCTGTTTCTAGATTAGCTGTTACATCCATGGCATACGGGGGCGGGGGGGCACTGCAGGAAATCACCCCAGATGAGTACAGAAAGCAAGTAAAACTACATCTGATCTTTTCCGTGGACAACTGAAGCATAGTGGAGAGGAGGGTCTTTGCAGGCTGTGTGTATGATGGTGACAGTGCCATGCTTTCTAACTGGGAGGGTGCAGGGCACTGAGGTGTTTGGAGGAGGAGGTAGGAAAGGGTTCTGAGTGTGCATAGCAGGCATACAGTTTCTGCTTAGATTGTTGCTTCTTGGGTTAGTTCTGGGGGCACCTGACGGAAATCACTGGGGGTGGGGTGGTTTCCTTCCTCCCAAGCCACCTTTGGGAGGCCCAGTGCTGCTGCGTGGGGGAAGCAGGTGCTCAGATCCTCCTCCTCTTCTCTGTCTCTGAGTCACAAAAGAGAAAATAAGTAAATATTGCTTACATGCTCGAACTCCTTGCACATAAAAGAAATGCCAGAGACCTGTGGAGTTTCTAAAGCTCGACTGAAAGAGCCAGAATCACTTAGAGAACAGGTTGGGAACACCCCCGTGGCAGGCAGAGGGTGTGAGTGGCAGGAAGGGTAGAGTGTGGGTAGCTGGAACAGAGGAGTGAGGAACAGAAGCACCAATGGAGGAGGAAGGGCCATGAGGGACAGGGGAGAGACAAACTCAATAGCTAAAAACCTATACAACATTCACCTCAGTACTCAATTTTCCCAGAGAAGTGGGACCTGGAGGAAGAAGAGGTGCATGTGCATATATGATAGTCTTACCTGTGGTGCTCATGTGTCTCTGCCATCCTAGGACTCCCCTGTCATGGCTGCTGTGCTCTCCTGTCAAAGGAGATGATGGCTTCAAGCATGATGGCTTGTTCTCCATCAGGAGAAGGCCAGTTATCCTGCTTAACAGAGAATCTTAGCAGTAGTTCCCATGTCTGTAGGGTGCTCCTGGGGACACACACCATCTCATTCCCTCCCCCTTGTGACTTTAAGGGGCAGGTCTGGTGTAGAGAAACAGCATTGGATTTTGCTCTCAGAATCCTCTGGCTTTAAGTCTCTGTTCTGACATATATATATATATATATATATATATATATATATATGTATTTTTTTTTCTTTTAAGGTTTATTTATTTTGAGAGAGAGAGACAGCACATGTGCATGCATGGTGAACAAGGAAGGGGCAGAGGAAGAAGGAGTGTTCCAAGCAGAATCCCCGCTGAGTGCAGAGCCCATCATGGGGCTGGATCCATGACCCTGAGATCATGACTGAGCCAAAACCAAGAGTTGGACACCTAACCGGCTGAGCCAAGTCGCCTCTGTTGTGCTAATTACTTTATTTCACTTTGAGTAAGAAACTATTGAGTCAGTTTTCTCCTCTGGAAAATGCAGATTACAACACTTAACTTATTAGGACAAGGAAGGCTTTGGGGCACACAAGAAGCTAGTGGGCAAATTAGAGCAAGAAGTCTTTTCCTCAAGACATTTTATTTCCATTGTCAGAAAATTATCATAATCTGTGGTGACTCTGCATGAAAGGTGTCCATGGGATGTGGCTCCCTTATTCCAGGGAGGTTGTTGGCTTCCAATAGCAGTGAGGCATGTTGTACAGGACCTGGCAAACATGGGCTCTAGGCTGTCACCAGGTAGGGTAGCCTTTGTCCCCACCCCGTCTCAGCAGGGAACCTGAGGTGACAAACTAGGACCATGACTAAACCTCAAGTCTGTTGCTTCTCCTCCAGCTTCCCCTCCTTTATGATTTAAATGCACCTTCAGAAAACATTCCTATCTTTCAGTAGAAAGATAAACACCTCACTATGCATTTTGCCAGAAACAAAAATGTAGATACACTCTGACTTTCTGCAGGAACTGGTCAGCTTTTGCTAAGCTGAAATGCTGCATTACAGAGAGCAAATAATATGATTCCCAAAACAGAGTTCTCAGGTAGATGGTGAGCAAACCCTAAGTCAGAATCCCCAAACTCTGCCAGATGCTATCCACTCTACTTGTGGTCCTGACGGAAGGACCAGCCTCTGGTGATCCAACCTCCTTACATGCAGAATGGAACAATACTCATCTTTCCTGCAGAGATATCATCAGATGGAATTTATGAGCTCTTCAAAGAACATTGAGAGAGTGCCAAAGGTATACAGTACCATAGAGGCACAGCATGTTAGTGTTGCTATTGTTATCAAAGCCTCATTGCTGTTCATGCAAAAACATTCTGAAAGTCTTCTTCGAAAAATCCCAACTACTGGGGATAATTAAATTTGTACAAGGAGGTATAACGAACATGGAATTTTTCAATTATTTGGCTCTTCACTAATTTTTCATTGAGATTCTACTCTGTGCCCAGCAATGGGACTGCAATGATAACAAGATATCCATACACCTTTCTTCTGGGAGCCTACAGACTAGAGGGCATGTGGCATGGGACAGAAAAAACAGATGAAGAAGTTCCAACATTATTGGGGGTAACAGGGAAAATAGACTCATTTGTTTGAGTACTGTTTTCAACTTTTACCTTGGTATTCTGTCTATGGAGTAAGCTATAGTGAGTGCCTGGTTTTGTGTTTTTTTTGCTTTTTTTTTTTTAAGATTTTGTTTATTCATTTCACAGAGAAAGACACAGCGAGAGAGGGGAAACACAAGCAGGGGAGAGGAAGAAGGAAGCTTCCACCTGAGCAGAGAGCCCAACGCAGGGCTCAATCCCAAGACACTGGGATCACGACCTGAGCTGAAGTCAGATGCTTAATGACTGAACCACCCAGGCAACCGGTGAGTGCCTGTTGTTTTGTCTGCACAACATACAATCCTGTCTGGTAAGGCATCTGACCTGTGATCATTCCCCACTCCCAGGCCATGGTGTGCCGATGGGGCCAAACTTACCAGGCTAGAGACTTACCTTAAAGCCCTGGATGCTCCCTGGGCTTCAGTTTTCTGATGTCACATGAAGTCTCAATAGCATGCTGGAGTAGATCTATTTAAAAGATTGAGCAAAAGCAAGGAGCAGTCATTAGGATTCAGCTCGGTCTCTCTTGTAACGGTCGGACATTTTGTAAAGTCCCTTGGACATGGAGTCTGGAGTACAGGCTTTGAGTTAAGACACTATTGTTGACCATCTTCCTAACCTAGATACTTGAGTACTTGTGTGAGTACTCATGCAGGTACTTGTGTGAGGACTCATGACTCTTCATTGTGCGTGCTTGTGCAGTACTCTCACCTGGTTCCCCCGTCAGTGACATGCTGTGTTGTACAACATTCAGCATGTATTTCCAACTCCATAGTGCAGTGATGAAAAATCATGCTGACGGATCCAGGGATTAGTGTACTGGATTTCAGACAAGCGTCTTACAAAGTTTTCATGGTGTTGTTCAGGAGAAAGGTGAGAAATAGAGAAAGAGAAATTCAGTATCAGTGACCAAAGGTGGGTGCAACGTGTCTATAAGAATTCACAGAGGCCAGCATTCCCAGAGGTGACACATGACCTGTCAAAAGGCTGTTCCATTACCTTGGACTTTATCAATAGCTGAAAGTAACTGAAGGCATTCTTAACAACTTTCAGATGACACAGAACTGGGAAGAATGGCCATTACATTGGAAAACAGAAATAATAAGTTTCAAACCAATTTAATATTCTGAATTGATGGTTTAGAGCTATGCCTGCCTATCTATCTATCTATCTATCTATCTATCATCTATCATCTAGCTTCTATCTAAAGGAATAGTATCCAGCAGGTTAAGAAAAAAGTCAACTACACAAATGTGGTTCATGTGAAAAAGACCTGGAAGGTTTGAGTTACTACAAGCTGAATACGAATCATCAGTAATACAAATCATCAGTAACTGTCCAAAATGCAAATGCAGTGTTAGTTTGCATTAACAGCTAAGGAGAGCCTTGTTCAATGGACATAAGAGCTTGCTTCACTGGCCACTCCCTTTTGTAATATTGGGACTTATCTCGAGGAGGAGATCAGAATACGATGGACAAGGTCTAGAAATCACCCATTCGCTTGCTCATTCAGGTATACATACTGATTGGCTACAGCCTCGAACCCTTTTTGCAACGGAGTAGAGGTGTAAATAAATAAACAAGAGAAAATACATAAAATATGTCAGAAACTGTCTTAGAAGAATGGTGTTCAGAGAGGAAAGACTCAGCCTGGAGAAGGGAAAAGTCAACAACATGAGGATTCAGGCCTCACCACAAAGCACAAAGTGGCAGAAAGGGAAGGGAGTGTCAGGTAAGTAAGTTACTCACATTCTGTTCTGGACATACAAATGTCTCTCCTTTAATACTTTGATGCATTTATTTCCTCATTTTGTTCTCCCTCACCCAGAAGGCAATGATGTGTATCCTCTGATATCTATGGGCTTTTAAAAACCATGTGCTGCTGCTTTGTTCATATTTTTACATAAATAGTACTCTACTATGTACCTGATTCTCTGTCTTGCTTTTTTCATTCAATTCTAGTTTGTAAAGAATGAATCGGGTTGCTGAGTATACAGTTAATCCTCAGATTTTGTGTTTGCAAATTCACTGACTCATGAAAATTCATTTGTAACCCCCAAATCAATATCTCGGGAGCTTCAGGGCACATTCATGGTCCTTCACAGACATGAGCAGGGTGGAGAAAAATGTGAGTCACTGGCAGGTATGTTCTCAGCTGAGCTAGAACGAGGAGGTGCTCTGCCTTCCAGATTCAGTATGCTATAATGCAGTGTCCCTTGGCAGTCTATTTAGTGTTATGTTTTTCACATTTCTGGGAATTTTTGATGATTTTGATATTTAAAATCATCCCAAACACAGTGCTGAAAGGGTCTAGAGTTTCTTAGTGCAAGAAGGCTGGGATATGCCTTATAGAAAATACATGGGTGCTAGATAAGCTTCCTTCAAGCATGAGTTACAGAACCATTGGCCATGAGCTCAATGTTAATGAGTCAACAATATGGATTAAGTCAGATGTCTTTAAACAGAGAAACACAGAAAATAAGATTATGTGTTGATGAGTTGATAAAAATGTGACCAGAGGCTTGCAGGAACCTAACTTTCTATTTCCCCTAGGAGTGATGGTTCAATATTTGCTAACTCTGTGTTTGCAACAACTTTATAGAACACAACTATAATGAATAATGAGAATCGATTATACCCCTGCTTCATTGCTCCTTGCTGCTGTTCCATGCCACATTTTACTTCTTCATTCCCCTAGTGATGGACATCTGGCATGGTTTCAACTCTCAGTCCCCATAATCAAGGCTATGACAAGGATCTTCATGCACTTTCCCTTAGAGACCAGTGTGAGAATTTCTCTGCAGGCATTCCCAGAAATGTGATTCCTGGGTCCGAGATAAGTGCATTCGACCAAGTATTGCTGGATTGCCCTAAACAATGGGGCTGCCCCCGTCTACACTCTTGCTGCCATCACACGATGGTCCTGTATTCCCTACAACCCTGCCATGACCTGTCATCACCCAGCTGTCTAATTTTTGTCAAGTTGGATGGGTATAGTGTCATAATTCACCATAGTTTTTATTTTATATCTCTGATTAAACAAGTCCCAGCATTTCTTCATTTGCTCACCATTTTGGGTTTCCTCTCGTATGAACGGACTATTCATACTTTTTGATCTATTTATCGATTAGGTTTTTAAAAAATTAATTTGAAAAAATTCCTTAGGCATTGTAGATATTTGTACCATGTCAGGCTTAGATCTTTAAAATGTATTTTCCTGATTTGTCATTTGCCTTTTGTGTCCATGATTTTTTTATTAAGTGGAAGTCCTTAATTTTGATATAGTCAAGGAAGTGTAACTTTGGATAGTGTCTTCCTGGGAAGAAGAGGTGGAAGTTTGGGAGTGCGCTTGCATGTGAAGGGCCATCTTATCTAAGGAAAGGTTAAAAATAATTGAGATTTTTTTGGGAAAGGGGTTCAGGGAAGGAAAGATAAGATATAAATGGTAAGATAGCTATTTTTTTCTAAAGGACTGTAAGTCAAAGAACCTTTTTACTTAGTCCATCCTCAGGTAGAAAGGATTGCCCTGTGAGATGAGCTCTTGTTCTCTGAGATGGCCAAGCACAGGGTGGGTGAATGCCAGAATGCCCTTGGCCAAGGGTAAGAGACAATGAGCCCTGACGTTTCTGTCAGTTCTGAGAGTTTGTGAATGGGGTGGAATGAAGAGGGAGGGAATTTGCATGAAGATAGTTCTTTCCTTTAAACAAGCAATTCATCATTCCTGTGTTAATGCTCACCTGGCTAAGCTAGTCTTCCCAGCATCTGTAAACAGCAGTAACATTTCATGCTGTCCCTCATCCCCACCCCTAACTTACACAGGCAGAACACATTAACCTTGTGGACATGGTATTGGCAAGTCTTTTCTGTGACAATTTTTTTTTTTGAAACTCACAATTTAATTGAGACTTCCAAATGGCTCTCCTAATTGTAGGTGTGAGAAGGAAGGAGTGAAGGTAAGGTGTTGGCTATACCCTAGTGCAGTTATAAGATGGGCCAAAAGGCAGTCTTTGTCTTTTATTCATTCATTCATTCATTCATTTCCTTATACACTGGCAAGTGCCTCCTCTATGTCAGGCCCTGGACCCAGCCCCAGAGATACAAGAGTGAGCAAAACAGCCACTGTCCTACCCTCACAGAGCTTAGAGCCTAGAGGGACAGACATCTACTTAACACCAAATGTACAAATCTGTGTTCACATTTCTACCTGTCTTCTCCCTTTAAAATTAGTGAAATAAAAAAAAAAAAAAGAAATGCAAATCAGAATGGAATAAAAATACCATTTTCATCTGTTGTAGTGGCAAACATCCAGAAATTTGTTGGTGAGGCTGTGGGACAGTAGGCCTTCTCATACAGTGCTGGTAGGAATGCAGACTAAAGCAGCTCCTAGGAGGGGAAACTTGGTAATATTCAACAAAATTACGTATGTATTTTATCCTTTGACCTAGCAATCCCACTCAGGAAAATATCCCTAAGACAGGCTGGCAAAAATACACTGAGGTTTATGTACAAAGCTAGTTGTTACAGTACTTATTGTAATAGCTAAAGGCTGGAGAAACAACCCTAATGTGCCTCACTAGGGGACAAGTTGAAGAAACCTCAACCTAAGTCGAATCCATACAATGGAGAACTTTGCATCACAAAAAGGAATGAGGCCTCCATAAGGCTACATCCTACTATAAAGAGATGTTTAGGATTTATTGTTAAGTGAAAAAAAGCAAAATGGAGAAATAGTGTATTTAGTGCACTACCTTATATCTTAGAACAGGGGGAAATTGTATATATTACTATTATTTTAAAATTTAATGAAAGGATATACCAAAAACTAATAAAAATTGTCACCTATGTGTGGAAGGGAGAAAACAAGGTGATGGGGAAGACAATATAAACCAGACTATCTGAATGGACTTTCTTTTATAGACTGGACTTAGGAGTCATCTGAACGTCTCATGAAACAAAATTTAATCAGAAAGAGAACTGTACTCTCCCAAAAATGTTGAAAGCAAAATAAAATGATATAAATGCATATAAACTGAGTAGATTAAACAATAGAGAAACATTATTTCAGATGACTTTAAAACCTAGTAATTAGATTGTGCATCCTAAGTAGAGACACATATATCTCCCAAGGACTAGAAGAGTCACAAAGAAATCTTAAACTGTTTCAACAATATTAATATTAATAATCATATTGGCATTATTTTTCTGAAGTATATGTGTGTGTGCGTACTGACCACTCTGTATTTTAACCATATAATAAAACTGTAATACAGACACACATAGTAAGAGAAACCAAACAATTTATTAGAAAAAATTTAATGACAAAGAACTAAGGTTTTCAGTGTGAAATAATTAAGTATTATAAAGTCATGATATATATTCTCTTAATTTTTTTTTTTTAGCTCTATCCACTGGAAAAGTCTGGAAACAGTAGTCAACCTGGTAGCAATGAGTTTCACTAGTACCAGATTGTAGTCTCTAAATATCATTTCCCGTTAAGAAGACCCAGAGGCCCTTGGAGAAATGGCAGCTTGTGGTCTAGAGCAAGATGAACACGGAACATCTTATTGCACCAAAAAGCAAGAAAGCCATCAAACAATTGGATATTATTCCAAAAGACTCAGGAATCATCTGGGAGGGACTACATCTGGCCAAAGATAAGGAAATTTGATTGTCAAAAAGATTAATGACTTCAGCGGTTTGAGATATATCAGTTATCTTTACATTTATAGTTCATGATAATACTAAATTTCTAAAATCTCACTGGTCAGCTTTGGAGGGTACCAGGAAACTATTCAGTATTTTAAAGGGGCTCCTGGGTGGTTCAGTCGGTTAAACATCTGACTCTTGGTGTCAGCTCAGGTCGTGATCTCATGGATCATGATCTCGCGGGTCATGATATTGAACCCCACTTTGGGCTCCATGCTCACTGGGGAGTCTAATTAAAGATTCTCTCCCTTTGTCCCTCCCCCAACCCCCGTGCATGTGTGCTCTCTTTCTCAAATAGATAAATCTTAAAAAATAGAATAATAAAACAAAATAAAATAAAATAAGAAATACTAGTGAGTAGTGGGAAAGAACCAAGCGTGTATCCTGCATTCCTGCATGATTTGTACTTCAGAATAACCAAATACCTGATGAGGGAAATTCTCTCCCTCTCTTTAAGAATCCCCATCAGAAACTGCAGGAGAAATGTGTGTTAGTTTCCTAAGGCTGCTGTAACAAAGTTCATTCAACAACAAGAATTTAGGGGCACCTGGGTGGCTCAATGGGTTAAAGCCTCTGCCTTCAGCTCAGGTCATGATCCCAGGGTCCTGGGATCCAGCCCCGCATCGGGCTCTCTGCTCACAGCAGGGAGCCCGCTTCCCCCTCTCTCTCTGCCTGCCTTTCTGCCTACTTGTGATCTCTCTCTTTCTGTCAAATAAATAAATAAATAAAATCTTTAAAAAAAACAAAAAAACAAAAAAACAAGAATTTATTGGTTCACAGTTCTAGAAGCTGGAAGTCCAAGATCAAGGTGTCAGCAGGGCCCTGCTCCCTCTGAAGGATTTGTTCCAGGCCTCTCCCAGCTTTTGACAGTTCCTTGGCTTGTGGCAACATAATTCCAGTCCTTGTATGGCATTCTTCCTCTGTGTGTGTGTCTGTCTCTGGGTCCAAATTTCTCCTTCGTGCAAGGATCCCAGTCATAGTGGATAAGGGGCCCATCCTACTCCAGCATGACCTCTTCTTAACTAATTCCAGCTGCAATGACCTAATTTCCAAATACTGTCCCTTTCTGAGATACTGGGGTTAGGATTTTAGCATATGAATTTGGAGGTCATAATTCAACCCATACTAGAACGACAGAGTTAGAATAGCATCATATTGTAATTGCTAATGAAAGAACAGATCAAGGCCATGGCTATCTGTAACCGCTAAAACCATCAGCAAATACCAGCTGAGGAGCTTTATAGAGAGTGAAGCAGGTATCAGCACCAGACCTACTGACTAATCTGGACATCACGGGATGCAGGAGATCCAGGCATTACCATTACAATGCATCCTGATGTGAAACCGAAGGAAGGACCCAGAACCACCTAGAAGGGGCTCTTGCCTCTCCCTGCTCCCAGAAAACCCCCACTAACCCCAAATCTGAACAAGCCTTTAGATGTAAGAGGTAAACTAATATTTTAGAGGATTTACAAGTGAGAAAAGAAGGTGTTAAGTGACACCCTGGGTACACCATCAGCAAATTTCCAAATGTGAGAAATTCTGTAAGACAAAAGGTCTGGTTTCTTAACAGATGTTAAGGGAAGAAAAGGGAGGGGGAACCGATAGATCAAAAGAGACTGTAAAAGCTATGTCAACCAAATTCTACATGTGCATTTTGTTTTGGTTTTGATTTGAGCAAGCCAGTTATGGAAGATAAAAACATAAAGGATGGTCAGAGAAATTTGAACACCCCCCTGGATATTTGATGACATTAAGAAATTACTAATTATTCAATGCAGTTATAGCTTTGTTGTGATTTTTAAAAAGCTCTTGCTTTGTAGGCGTACTACTACTCAGGTCTTCGTGGGTGGAAAATTCTAGTGTCTTGGATTTGTTTCAAAATAATCTGGGAAAGGGGTGATAAACTGGGTGAGATTATAGATGAAATGCAATTGGCCATGTGTTGAAGCAGGCGTGATGAGTACCTGGGGTTTCATTACACTTTTATATGTTTGAAAATTTCCATAATAAAGTGTTAAAAAATTGATGAGGTGGCTCTCTTCCTATAAAAGTCTTATCTATTCATCTCTGCGCTGGATGCTATCCCATCCTATCTTCTCAAGGACTTAGCTCACCATTTATTGCCTCACTGAGCGTTGTGAGTCTCTCTCTCTGTCTCCCTGCTGAGTCATCCCCACAGCTAATAAATGTGCTCTACTATCTCCCATCCAAAAAAAAAAAAAGGGAAAGGAAATCAGAGAAACCAACTCCAATCACTTCCTCGGCCCACCCGATTTTTCTATTCCTTTGCGCAACTCAAACTTTTCTTCTCACACGCATAGTTTCTAATTCATCACCATCTGCTTCCTCGTCAACCCCTGCAATCTGGTTGTGGCTAGAAAATGCCATTGAGGTCACCACCGACCGCCATGTTTTGTCAACTACAGTGGACAGGTTTCGGCCTCTCAGCTGCTTTGGCCTGGTTTCGTGTCTCTCTCCAACCGCGCACTCTGGCCCTGTCTGTCTATGTTCCCCCATCTCCTGTCCCTCTCCCCTAACACACAAAACTCCCTCCATGCCTGTCAGTTCCTCAGACACCCGGATGTCTGGGTTTGGTGCCTTCCCTATGCTTCCTTCTTTCTTCTTGGCTCTTCCCATGATTCGCTTCTCTCACTCTTCCCATCTTCATGATTGCTCTGTCTGCCTGGGGCCCTCCACCAATCTTTGTCACTGCACCTGCTTCGTTCCCTTTTTTAGAACACTTCCTGAAAATTGGAATCAGATTTTTATTTGTTCTTTTCCCCCACTGGACTCTAAGCTCCACAAGGAAAGGAACCAAATCTGTTCTTGCTGGTTCCTGCAATCCCAGAAAATTGTACAGTTCCTGGCACACAGAGGCACTTAAAAAAAATTTGTTGAATGAAAACATTGTGATACATTAATCAAGTGATTACTCAACTTAGTATAACAACAAATTGTGACTAATGCTGTGACGAAAAGCACAGTGGGGCGTGGATCTAGTTTGAGAGGGTCACAAAAGCCACCACGTGGAGATCCCATTTGAGCGAGATCCGAGCGGTGGAGAGGAGTTTCATAGGGGAAGCTGGAGAGACATAATGAGAAAGGGTCAGCTCACCCTGATGAAAAACCCCAAGAAGAGTAGTTGAAACCAAAGATCGCCTGGGGGTCAGATGTTGACAATCTCCCCTTTGAGGGTGGGGCTCTGTGTGTGTGACTTGGGAGTAAGTGACACAATGCAGAGACACCCAAAGGTCATGTTGTCCTGGCTACGTTTAATCAGCTGTGAACCACGAGCGAGGTTTTACTCTCCCCGCTCGTAACAGAGCAGGAAGTGTGCTGAACACTTCAGCGTACAGCCTGTGGACTGAGGGGGCACCCTCACCTCGCACCTTCCTGTGTGATACCAGCCGTGTTTACCCAAACAAAACCCCAGACCCCGTCGAATTCCGTTTGCCCAGCAGACCTCTTTTGCTCAGATCTCTAGGCTTGGACTACGGGATGATCAGAGTTCATCTTCTCTCAAGGAGGTTTCCAGGGAGCAGGAATCCAGGGACCCCTCAGCCAGCAACAGGTGGAAAGAAGTTGACAATCAGGGGCTCTAAAGGAACAAAGGGCAGGTAAAGGGCTTCTGAAGCTAGTTCAAACACACACACACAGAATTAGCAAAAAGCCCTTTGAATATCAACTTGTCCTTTGACCCGTGGCTCTGTTTCTAGAAGGCTGGGCTGAGGAAATAATCAGCGGCAGGCAAAGATGGACGGCTATGAAGTTTTTTACAAAGCAGAAAATTGGAAAAATCTAAATGTCCAAAAACAGAAGGAGGGCTAAATAAATAAGAGCATGCCTGAGCTGGTGTGCGGCCATTACAATTATGTTTAGAAATAAATTTTAATTGCTTAGAAAATGCTCTTAACATAACATTAAGTGAAAAAAAGTAAAATGAATAAAATAGCTGCTTCTATAGTGTGAACTCAAACATTTGCGTTTCTATATATACATGAGAAAGCTGGGTGCGTAGATGAATACAAAGAAAAAGACTGGACAGAATCTTGCCAGTAAAAATCGCGTTATTGTAAGTTGATTTGTATACTTCTCCATATTTCTTTTTTATTTTTTTTTAAGATTTTTATTCATTTATTTGACAGAGAGAGACACAGCAAGGGAGGGAACACAAGCAGGGGGAGTAGGAGAAGGCGAAAGCAGGCTTCCTGCCGAGCAGGGAGCCCGATGTGGGGCTTCATCCCTGGACCCCCAGATCATGACCTGAGCTGAAGGCAGATGCTTAACCAACTGAGCCACCCAGACACCCCTATATTTAGTTTTTAAACAAGGGCACCTTACGCATGGTCATAAACGAACAAATTAGGATTCTTTTTTATTGATTGATGTATTTTCTTTTTTATTGTGGTAAAATAGACGTAATGTAAAGCTTCCCATTTCAACCGTTTCTACGAGCACAGTTCAGTGGCATCAAGCGCATTTGCATTTTTGAGCAACCCTCACTGCCATCCATCTCCAGAACTTTTTCACCTTTCGAGACCGAAACTCTGTTCCCGTTAAATGCCGACTCCCCATTCTCCTGACCCCACTCCCTGGCAACCACCGTCTAACCTCTGTCTTTATGACTCTCACTTTTCCACTTACCTCATGGGAGTGGAATCAGACAGCACTCTTCTTTTTATGTCTGGTTTATTTTATTTAGCATAATGCCTTCGAGATTCAAGCCCCTTAATGTGGTTCCTGCGTCCCGCTGAAGCCCAGCGCTGATCTCCACACCTCCAGCAAGGTCTTTTGCGTGGGACCCGATGAAGCCGAATATTGTGTTTGGCACGCTGAAGGTTCCCCTTCCAGGGCCACCAGGAGGGATGTTAAGAGACGATATCAGGGGTTAAGTGTCCACCTCCACTTGTCCCCAGCAGCCTCAGGCAGCTGATGTTGCTGCATTCTGGGACTAAGAGGTGAGGGCAGGTGAGTGGAAGAAGCAGCCAGGAATTGCAGTTGAAGAAAAGACTGGAAGGAGCTTTTAAAACAGCTACTAAAACTGTAAAACTCACTTTACAGGGACTGAGGGAATGTAAGTTAATCACCCCCATGCACGAGAGAGGCAATGCGGTGTCGGGACACAAGCCTTAAGCGTCTGACAGCTCAGTGCTCAGCTCAGCCT